GAAAAGAAGAAGAAAGGGGGAGAGAGGAGATTCTATTTTTTTTTTTTTTTCCTGGTAATATATTCATGTAAACAAAGAATAAAAAAAGCCGTAAAGTGTTCCGAACAAAGAAGTCAGAAAAGGAAAACGAAAAGGAGTCTACATCTTTGTTTATTCTTTGTCTTGCCTTTTTTTTAATTTGCCATTACTCCTTTACATCAAAATGCAAGAATAATGATGATGATCCTTTAGTGGCGCCTTTTCTAATGATGGCTTATTATTGCTATTATTACTATTATTAATACTATTACCACTACTATTAGAACTATGAGAATTATTATCGTTGTGGTGCTGACATGTTTTATCCAATTCATAAAATAGAATATATGCATTCTCCGCTAAATCAGCAAACATCTTTGCTTGGTCCTTGACTGGTGTCACCCTCATCTCCTTGTTCATATCATCCAATTTTATCCACTCTTCCTCTGCTCTTGCATAGGATATATAATGTCCTGAATAAGGTGAACTTCCTTTATGACACACAACACTCTTGAGATAAAGTGTCCAATCGTTCATCTGACCACATGTTGTACACACTGGATCGTCCATGTTTTGATTGATAAAACGGTTAAAGTCAATGGTGGATGGAATATCGATCGGTATCTTGTTCTTTTTGATTTCTGTGTTTTCGTAAAAGTACCGCTTGAGAACGATGGGTAAAATCATCCGTGTATCTGGGAAAGCTGAGTCAAATTGTGTATTGATAAGTTCTCCTTGCTCATTGGTTGCACTATAAAAGGGCAGCAGCTCGAGTACCTGCCATGCAATCACCTCCTGTTGCGTATTTGTTGGTTCTAATATTTTCTTCTTTTCACTTGTACTTGCAAAGGTTGGTGATGATAGGATATCTTCACAAATGTCTTGGTTGATACTTTGTTGTTGTTGCTGCTGTTGTTGTTGAAGTTGGATGTCCACTTGTCGTTTGATGCCAGTAATGATGTTGTTGTAAAAATAGTCTAATAAAATATCTTCTAATTTTAACCTTGTATTCATGTTGCTTTGTGGTATAGAAAGAGATAAGACTCGGTCCGTCATGACTCTATCATCATTTGTATCATGATTTGCTCCATGGAATAATCTGATTTGAAACTTTATACATGTATTTATGAGTTTTGTTTTATATCATCAAAAGAAGAACTTACAGGTAAATAAGGCAAATCAAATGTCTCGGTGATAAACATAAACAGTTCGCTCGTATCTTCTTGTGACCAATAACCGTTTTCGTCCTTTCCATTCCATTGTGCTTCCTCGAGCACTTTTCTAAGCCAGTGAACATAATTGGCGCTAATGAAATTACCCTTTCTCAGTTTATTCACAAACAGTCTCATGACCGTCTGTAATTTGACTTTGGCTTCGTTTTCAGGTGGTATATCATAGGTTAACAACGGATCAAATGTTGTGTTGGATATGTACATGGCAAACAAGAGTGCATCAATATAGCAACTGGTGCCTCCATCATTCTCTGGTCCGAGCAAGACTTGTCCTTGAGGTGGCTCTATAAGTATACCATGCGAAGCTTCTTCATAATCAGATAGATCTGCGATTGCTTTTTTTAAATCCCAATCGTTATCTTCAAGTAAACTTTCAAAGATATCCGAATCTAGTGAAAGTGAAAAGTGTTGCTGTGCATAGGTGGATAAACATGTAATCTTTTCCTTTTGTTCCGTTGTCGTATCTCTTCTCTGAAGTGTCCCTACATGCTTCTTGTGTCGAAAGAAATTCCAAATCCTATCTCTTTTTCGCAAGTGAGGTTTCTTTTCCATAAAGAGAGAGAAGAAGAAGAAAAAGTTTTCTGCCCAAAAAAAAAGAATTATAACTGCTGGATTTCATTTTCTTGGCTACTCTGTCTTAAGTCTTTTTGAAGCTTGGCGGCATTTTAATGCTTTTTTTTTTTTTTCTTTGTTCTCGTCTACATGTCCTTTTTTGCATTTTTTTACTTGTTTTAGCTGCCATAGACACACACACGTGTGCATCATTGGAAAGAGTTTCTTTACGCGCGCAGTCAAAACTGTAAGTAAAGAGTCTGAAATGAAATGAAAAACAGAAACAAAGTGTACGCAAGTACTGTTTTATTGTTTTTTTAAAGCGTTCAATTCATTCAACAGTTCAGCTTTTTCCTTTTCCATTTGTAATTCTTTTTCATGCAATGTTTTAATATGCTCTAATGCTATATTATAAAAACATGTTAGTTTTTATATTAAGAAAAAAGGGAATTCGCTATTTTTACCTTTATTCATTATCTCCCATTTGCTAGTCTTTAATCCTTTTTCAAATGGTAATAAATCTCTTAGATCATCAAACAAGTCTCTCATCTCTTTTCTTCTTTTTCTTTCTGCTAGTTTATGGCTCATTCGTAATTCAGGTGACCTTGAATAGGGCGTTTGTTCACTTCCTCTTCGTTTGATAGTTGCAGTGGCTATTGAATGACGTCGATCATCCAGAACCATATCAGGAACAATAGCAGATGATGTTAGATGGGATATTGATGGAAGTGATTCTCTTCTCCAAGATGGCAATGATGCACCATCAGGTGGTGTTGCTACGGACGATCGTCTGGATGATGATGGCGAGGTAGGGGGTGATGTATGAAAAGATAGATTGGATGGGCGATGAAAGGATGTATGAAGGTGAGGATCTGTGAGTGAACCCCGTCGAGAAGTTGATGGGCTCGGGCTATTACTATCAATATGGTATGGATGATGGCGAAAAGGGGATAAAGGATATAATGTTCGGCTCTCGACTATACTGGGTCTTCTTTCTTTAGGTTCAAATACCGATTTGTTATGATCGTACATTGCTTCTTCTTGTGTGGTGGTTATCATACTTTTTTTTTACTATTAATTATTATAAATTATTAAAGAAAAGAAAAGAGGAGATGAAAAGAGGAAATTATAATTTCATGAATCAACTCCGCATTTCAGCACGTGTTTTTAAGTTGCCACAGAAACACAATTTTTTCATCTGCCGGCCTTATTGCCACATGGCACTCCTATTTAAATTGTCCCCTTGTGACTTGATCAGTTGAACTACACACACTCAAACAAGTAAAATGGCTTATCAACTATCACCGTAGCTACCCCCTTAACTTTCGTTGCCATGAACAGGTATTGTTTGGATACACGTGGCTGCAGTTTGATGAACGAGCTTTTTCCTATTTTGTTATTCACGAGGTCTTTCATATGAAATCATGGTTTAATTATACCCAAGCCAATCAAAACCAATGCATAAAGGTTCGTACCTGAATAATAACAAATTCGGGTTTTTACTTTATAAATACACGCACCTCCTCTCTTTCTTTTTTTCATTTTTTTCCCTATGCGGAAACTTCGGACTATCTTTCTCTCTTTGATCGACATGATTTCTAAATTAGTTTCCTTTCCCAAGCAATAACCGCGCATGAATTTATTTTTATTCGCAATCTAAAGACATCTCTTCAGTCATTTTGGTCATCCGGTTGATCATCAAATCGGCATTAATATCAAACGTCTCCTCATAAATATGCTCAGGGTCCAATGTTTGTTTCTTTTGTTCAATATCAATTGAGCTCAGCATATCCAAAAACTTGGACTCAAACTCATCCTCAGCTTCTAATTCGCGTTTGCCGCTTTTATCTCGTAATGGCTCCTTCAGTATACCCTCGATGATCCTGATAGACTCGATTCTAATTAGTCTATGTGTATCATTAGCCTACAATGGCGTACAAAAATAAATGGGTGAGTGGAGATTAGATGGACATCTACTTGTGTTACTCACAGCTAGCGTGAGTAGTTCCCCCGCCTGAATGTGCTCAAAGAACACACTCTGGGGTACATAATTCGTCCTTTTCTTTTGCTCGTGCTTTTCATGCACATAAAGATGCCAAAGATGTTCGATCAATCTGCATCCTCTCACTCTCACATCCGGGTCTTGGTCATCGACAAGTCTTTTAATGATATCTGGACTAATGACGTTTTTGTTAATCATTCCTATTTTCGCTGTCCTCGTATATATTTTTACTTGAGTGACTGAGACTTGCTTTCTATGTCCATGTGCATTCCTTGACATGATCTCTTTTCAATCAAGCAACCTATGGCATCTAATGTCGCTCTTCTTACGAATGCTTCGGTATCATATAATAAACTGGGCAATCGGCTAGCTAAGAACTCTCGGCTTTCCTGATGTTGTTGCATATAGTCCCATCCCTGTCTACTCCTCATCATATTCTAATAACAGTAAGAACTTGGTTCAGAATGGCATGTATATGAATGTGCCGCATTTTTAAAATGTATTCATACACATGCGACATATTCGAGCTTTAAAAATAGTGTATGGTCATGCTTACCTGTACAACATCCACAGCAGACGCTCGCACAAATGGCTCTGTGTCACTGATGCGGTCTAGTACATTCAAAGGCAGATCGTATTTTAAAGCAAACGAAACTTTGGCTTCACTGATAGGCTTTTTTTTTGTATGCATTAGTTTTCGCTTTTGTTACTTTTTGTAGATTACCTCTTTGAATAACTGTCCAACAAATTGAATTGCTGCATCGCGAACATCCCATTCTGTATCCAGAAACTTGAGTTGCAATGCACTTACCAACGCATCCAGGGATGACTACATGTATATGGTCATTTAAACTTTCTCCCTAGTTTTATTTAAATCTTATCCTTTACCGATTCAATTCCGGATATGTTTTCGTCGTTCAAGAAGACATCAAAGGTGTCTAGTACAAGAGACATGCCTTTGACATCCATCTCGTCTCTGTTCATCACATCGATCACTAGCTGGATTACCTGAAGCTTACAGGTTAGATAAGGAAATGATGCTTGTAGTAAGTCTAGTTCTGATTTCATCACGCGCTGATCCATATAAGCATCTGTGCACTGAAGCACAGTAAGGATGCTTTGAACAAGATGCTTATCCTAATAGGTATTAAAACGAGTTTTTCTCACTCGTTTCTTCTTACCTCTAGAAGGATAGGTCGTATGAGAATAAGCGCATGGAGTATTCTCAGACAGAGCTGAAGTACGTTGTTTTTCATACGGGGCGTTTTCAACAGAGATTGTATCTGATGAGGTTGTAAGTTTACTGTTCTATGAAGAGTAGAAGTCTTACATGTCTGCCTTCTGTCATTGAAACGTATCGGTTTAAACAAATATCTATCAACGTGACAATCAATTGTACCATCTCTTGGGTATCGGGCGAATCCATTCTTTTTAGCAGCTCGATAGATGTCTCGAGTAAGCTGACGCCCGTCATGACTTGGTCCAGCGAGCCGTCTTGAGCCATCAACATCTCTTTACCTAAATCCAGCATGATGCGGTACACGCCATCGATCGGACTCTTCTGCACATTTCTTAATCCCAAAGTCTGGATTGGATCTGGGTCCCAAGAGAACAGGACAGACAGGATTTCAATCACTCTGGCCCGAATCATTCTATGAGCAGAACAGAGCAGTGGTATTGTAGGGAATAACTAGAGGGCTCATCTATTAACAATGCTCCTCCATCTAATTAAATAAAAAAAAAATGGTGCTCTCCTTACCAGCTGTGTACGATGCAAATAATCAAGAGTGATCGGGTCCTTTTGACTGATAATCGACCAGCAAAACTCAAGGGCTGCTGTGACCTGAGAAGGGTTGGTATGAACAGACAGGATGGACTTGATCTGAGCTGAAGGGTCCAAAACATCACTGACAGGACTCTTGATCATCAATAGTATCGTAAACAATCGACAGGCTTCTGAAACAACATAACGACTTTGATCTAGCAGAGCCAGTGCAATAAACGACGCTGCTTGTTGATTGTTATAGAGCCAGTTTTGACCCCTTTCACAAGATACAAATAAAGTACAAGCCTGAAGACAACTACATCTCAATGCAGGTTCGGAGGATCTGAGTCCAGTCGTAACGAGATCAAGCAAGTCAGGATAATCCTGTTCTAATTGCTCAAATCTGCCTCCTGCTTTGATAAAGTGGCCCAAAAGTCGAGTAGATATGGTAATAACTCTGTAATCTTGATCTTTGATTTGACATGCCTAAGGTTGTTTCAGTTTTTCTATAACTAGTTGTTATGTATATGATCTGACTTTTCTAATGTGATTGTAGATTCCAATTTGTTCAAATGCCTCAACTGCGTCAGGATCACTCGTGAGCACCATCACTAGAAATGACAGTACTTTTTCAAATAGTGTGTCATCAACAATTGTTTTTGACATGTAAGGTATTGCCTTGATCATTTCTTTAGCTCTATCCAAGTCCATTGTTGATTATTGTTATTACGCGCAATTATAAAATAAAAAAGAAGAAAGAAAAGTCGCGTCCTTGATATTTTTTCAAAACATGTTTATTTTAGAGTGAAAACAAGTCATTGAAAGTCTTAAAGTGTATCAAAGAGAGAGAGAAGCGAATGGTGATAGGACATCGTTTGACTATGATCAGTTCAATGAAGACTAACAGAGCAGATGTAATGTAGATATAAGAAGAGAAAAACTGTATGGCCCTTTTATCCGCTTTATTTTTTGAATGTTCATAATGTATTATATTGCCAGTAGTTGTATAAATTCCTTATCGACAGCAGCCTTGTCACTACAGCTTTCAATACCCTCATTTTTAAAAACATCAGAGTTGATGAGCACTAACACGATCAACTAGTCAGTTGACATCTTTGTTTCGTATCAGGGGCAAATATTCTACGATAAAATGGTAAGAAAGCCTGTCATTAGCCTTTCAAAATTTTCCTAGCCTATCCTTTTGTCTGACTTATAATTTGTGCGCGCTTTTGTATGCTGTGTCAATGTGCTCCTATCGTCAAACAGTGCGGCGCAACAAGGACAAGAGTGATTGAAACACAAAGTAGGAGGGCCAGATTGAACACTTGTCAGAATAATAATAAAAAAGTGAGAGCGGCCTACTTCTCCCGGCGCTGCTTTACAGATGGCTATGCTGTTTTATGCGTTTAACAACATATCCCCTTTCCATCTGTGTAAAAAGTTTTGTAAGGAAAAAATAACTGCTACTTCATTTATTCAAAGTTGACAAGTAAAAATAAATAAAAACCCATGAATGTGCTATACGACGTCATCTTTGGGACAGCAAGGTTTTCTTGGACTACATCAAAGTCCAAATTAATTTTTGAGATGATCGTATACAATCGGCGCTAGGACAATAGTATGAGATGATGTAAGTCGTAGAACAAAACAGAAAAGTGGCATATAATGTTTCCAAATGATCGCGTGTCATTTTGTTAATTGCTAAACTAGGTCAACTTTGTACCTTGACGTGCTTTTTTTTGTCGTTTTCTTTGTGATATCCAAAAGATATATTTTTTGAACGCTTTGGTGGTCATGAATAACTGTTTTTTTCTCTTTCTTATGAAAGACCCAAAGGTTAATACAATCCCTTTTGAAAAGTATTTATAATGAAGTAAAGATTGAAGTATGACTTGTGTCGTTTCTAGTATGTATAGTGTTGTTCAAAAGTGAATATGCTCAGCGATGAACAAAACAACAAGCTGACGTAAATTAAATCGCCTATTCTATTCCCTTTGACATCTGAAAGGGGTTCAAGTTACACGATGATATCAAATCACCATTTAGTACAGTCAGGCCTATGGAAATTGACGTTTTCACAAAAATAATTGTCACTTTCATAAAAATAATTGGTCGAAGGGTAAACTGAAAAATATATTTCACAAGCTCAATTCGCTTTGTCACTTTTACTAAAAGTATTTGTCCGAGTCAACTAGTTATAGTTGTTTAAATTGCCCAAAGAAAATCAGACTAATTTGGCCAAGTATTTGAAACTAGTTTGTCCAGCGTTTCGAGAATAAATTGCCCACTTTTTAGAAATAGTTTGACCACATTTACTCTATCTATTGTATTCTGAAATAATTTTTTTTCCGCATAGATGGCAAAGGTCGAATTGTGGACGATTTTAGCAAAGAGGCGGCTGCTTTCGTTATAGATCCATTATTTCCATTAACCAATCTGACGAACCTGCATAAATATATCAAATATAAGAAAGTAATTGTTGAATATGAAGAGCTCAAGAACGCTGACATGCAAGACGCACCAACCATATGACCAAAGTAGAAATGGCATTATGGATGTAGAAGAAGTTGCTAACCCCGTACCATTCGGAAACCTTAACTAACACCAGATACTACTGCGAATCTCAAAGACCAGAACAAGAGTCGCTCATTGAAGATCTAGACACTAAGATGAAAAACGTGGTCAATCTTGTAGGAACAGTAAAGAAACAGTAAACAACATATAATAACTATAGTAGTGAGCAGAGGCTTCTTTTTATGTATTATAACCAGGTGAAGCTATACAACTGCCTTCATGCTTATGCAAATTAAGAATACTTAACATAAATAAACAAACCGATTATATATAAGAGTACAGACTATATGCAATAGCACAATTGAACCAATACATGACTAAAGATGGCATAAAAATAAACAAAACCAATATTCCTATTTGTGTTTTTTTGTTTCAGAGTGCTGGTGGATGATCATACTAACTTAAACAATACAAATAAATTGCAGGGTCAAATTATGCTAATTGCGTTTACAGATTTTATCTGCACAGAAGTGCAGTTCTAATTTTATATTCATAGCAGTTGCTGTTACGGATAAAATCTGGGTGTCGTATTTGACATGTCTAACACTAATCTTTACGTGTGAGATTACATTTGACTTAATTCTTTTTGCTATGAGCTCCTCCTCTCACTTTTAATAAAAGAATAAAACAGAGACTCATCATTTCTTTGCTTTTGTTCTATACATTATCGAGTACTAACAACAACAACAACCAATACCTCACTGGGGCCGCATCTGATTTTTTTTTTTTCATTTCCTTACGCCGTAGGCATAAAAAAAACGAGGTAGACTAATTTGAGCCTTTAAAGAAACGCGGTAATGACAGAAGCTAATTTGTCTTTTATGTGCAGTTTCGTTGCAACGATTAAGAAGAACAACAAACTGAATAGTAGAAGACTGTAGGAGACTACTATTACAACAATGAAAAGTATGCAAACAGATTAGAATCGGTATCTGATTTTACGCAATAGTGTAAAGTAAAGGTGAATTATATTCAAGTACCATTTTTGAGAAAGAGAAATGAATCAGGAAGCACACCTAGAATGAGAGAGTTGTACGTTTTAAAATCAGAATTACAATTAATTTTTATGAGCATTTACATACTTTTTTTTTGTTGTAGAAAACGCTGTGAAGAACATTGTTACAAAATTGCCTTATTTTCAAAAACACATGGAAAACCTGAAAAAGACTTTGTATTAGTTGGATAAGTGCGAAAGTCAGTTAAATCAGCACAACATCAGGTCAAGAATATTCAGAGCATGGCTAATAATTTATATTTAAGATCGAATGTGGATAAATGTTTTGTTTCTTACTCCTCAAATGCCAATACTACAGTTGATGAAAGGAGGACAGAAGATGTGGTCACCCAGCCCAGATGGTATGAAAGATTTTTTATGCATCTTTAAGTTGCCCGCTCCTTATACAAAAAAAAAAAAAAGCAAAAATAGAAATGCTTAACTTGGAAAAGGTTTAAAAGAGATAGTCTACACTTTTTTGTTTATTTTATATATTTTCAAATAAAAAGCGCGGCTCGAAGAGCTTATACCACATCCTCTGTCCTCCTTTTGTCAACTGTAGTATTGAGTTTGTGAAATTTATTCTTCAGTTTCCAACAATTATCTTTACCCTTCGACCAATCATTTTTATGAAAGTGACAATTATTTTTACGAAAACGCTAATTTCCATAGGTCTGACTGTACGACATCTGCTGGGAGTGGGCATTCCTAAAAATAAAAATCACTGAATGACCAACTCACATGAGTCTAACAAATTTATTCATTGTTATTGCATGATTTACAATAGTAAAAATATGCAGTGTTATCGAGACATATCCAGATTCATCCTGTTTCTATGGAGATAAAGCTATTGTTACTAAATTTACAAATCAGTCACCTGAAGCTCATAATAACCCCAGTAAAAAAAGTTTTATTGTCGAGCATCACATGTCTCAAGGGAAACAGCCACAGTAGTGGCGACACATGCAGAATTATGATAAAGTCATGATATATTTTTTTTATTCATAAATACATAGAATATGACGTGTATGTATATAAAAAGCGTATGTATAGAGGAGAAGGGGGATAATTTACAAGAAAATAAGCATGGTATAAATTTAGCAATAATCAAAACAGCCATTAACAGCTGCTTCAGTTTGATCAGGCCAATAACAGTTCATAGCTGTGAAGCTATCTTCGTCTTTCAATAAATCAGAGGGTTGCTTATCATCCAGACTAAAGTCCAGATATTGATCTATGTTGTAAGTATTCAAGTCGGCAATATACAGATTGCTTGATGGGTCATTAAATTGATCGAGTGAGAATGAGTCGGGATAATGGATATTCTTTTCAAGTGAGTTAAACTGAAGATCAATTGTTTTCATATCAGGATGTGAAGACACAACATTAGTAGCATTTGTATTTGAACCAACTGCTGGTGCCTGTAATCCATTCAGAATGTTCTGTGCTTCGGGATCGTAACAAAATGGATTGTAACTTGAAGTAAGCAGCATATCTCGTGATTGATCAGGTTCATGCATCCAAAAGTCTTGCAGGATTCCATTCTGAACCAATTCCTTATTATACCATCCCTCCGGGTAACATGCTTCTGACGCAGTGATGGTGTCAGCATTGGTAATTGTTGTTGTTGATTTTCTTCTTTTGGTAGGTATGTCGGAGTCAGAATCTTCCATTGCACGCTTTGTATTTTTCTTTCCACGCTTTTGGTTTGCCGCCGTACCTTCAGAGTTGAATCGGATAACAAAACTCTTGGGGTCTGTCTTGGGTGCCTCTGATGGATGTGTCTCCTGAGTCACGTTTCTCATCCTTGGCGCAGAAAGTGTAGATTTAGTCTTTTTGACTTCATAATCTTCAGGTCTTGTGATGTGGATATTAGGACATTCGGGGTAATATTCTTCTTCACCAGCCGAGGATCTGGACTTGGTAGATAAGGAGGTATATGTACCAATGTCGTGATGCCTTCTGCTGTGTCCACCTGCTTGAGAAAGGTTTTCGACAAACAATTTTTCAGTCATAGGCTGAAGGGTCCAGTATCCACCTTTGCCCGGGTGTGCTTGAGTAGGGCGGCGATCGAGCTTGACAAACCATTTTTTGTTCAGAGACAGGTTATGACGTATGGAGTTCTATTGAACATGTTATTAAAGGTCCTACATATACCACATGGTGCTATTTACCTGCCACCCTTTCACGCCTCGTTGATAGTAAGGATAGGCTTCAGAAATCCACTTGTAGATATCGCTCAAGGTAAGACGACCGTCTTTGCTGGATAAGATAGCGTGAGCGATTAAAGTTGCATAAGAGTATGGCGGCTTTTCATGACGATCAGCTGGCTTCCACCAAGGATTGATTTGACGCGGCCAGCTGGGTCTTGTCCTTGAAGGACATGTCTCGAGATCATCGTCATCTTCTGGTTGAACACCAATGGGCTCAATCTTAAATCGAAGCTCTGAGGATCTTTGCTTTTTATTATTGTGTGTCAGTGGCTGTGAAGGTATCCTTGGTTCTTGATCTTTTCCGGGTAATTCACGGATGATTGAAAATTGGGATATTTTATATTGTGACTTTTCGTTCATGGATATAAAAAGTGGGGGATTGGTATACAAAGGGTATAAATTATAAATATTATGAGTAAAAGAAAAAAGGAAAATAGAAAAGGGGAACAAACTCTTTTATATAAATAATGCCATCCTTCTGTCATCATGAATGAATTTCTGCGGTCTGTACGACGTTACATTGGATAGCATCATATTGTAATGCTCTTTTTTTTTGTGGCAGAATTCATGGAACCTTTTTTATAATCAAAGTAAGTTCATAGTATTCTATAAAGTAGAAAAAAATTAAATGAAGGTTCATTATGTTATATTATATTATATTATTATTAGCTATAAAAAAATAGATTATAATAAAATTAAAATAGAAGAACAGGATAGTAACCGTTACCATGGTAATCATCTGCTGGTTTCATAGAGAACAAAAAAAATAATTTAAACATTTTTGTCGCTTTGTAACTGAGTATGATTACATGATGATGATTTGGAAAATAACAATCTACTAAATATGGGCCTTCGTACCACTTTTTTGTTTCATAAACTATTTCCCTCCCTTAGAGGCTTAAAATAAAACAGTTTATTTTTATCTTTCTATTGTATGCAGACTCATTGTTCATTTCAAAAAATAATAATTCAACCAACAACAACATCACTTCGAAGTACCCATTTTTCACCCTGAAGCACTTGCTTTGCCTCGTGAAGTAGGCAGTGGGTTCCATGGCGATGAAGTAAGGCCATACCTCTTTGTGGTTTCACAACAATGGGAGGATCCGTCTTCCGGTCAGGGAAAAAAACTGTCTCACCACCCAGCATGTCCTGATTCAAGTACACGAGGAGTGTCCATTCTGTCCATAGACCTGTATGCTTGTCTTGCACACTGTCATCATAATGTGGGCCAAACGAGTGCCCTTTTCTGTATCGGTATATCCGTATGTTAGAATTCAGTCCTATCGGCCGCTTGTTCACTCTCAATGGTTCTTGAACGATTGGTTCAAGCAGCTTCCACAATTCAGTCGCAACTTGTGCATCTTCCATCGCCTGTCGATCATTATTACGGAAAGCTTCTCCTTTTTTAGGTCGTGTGGACGTGTTCTCCTTGGGAGGCAAGTGTTTTGTAAAGTAAGTGATGACTGATTCACATTCCTTGGCATTCAAGAAATTCGGAATCACATAAATCTGTTCGGGTTCTAGCTCTTCCAGCTCAAGATAATTTTTAGTGCTCAGCCTTGGAAACGGACTGCTGCGGATGTTGTTCTCCTCCTTCTTTGACTTCACCATAGTCAAAATGATGTTATAAAAAGTGCCACCGGGTGACCAAAAAAAAAGTGGCTATGTTGATTTAACAGCCGATCGCGCTCCTGCGCAATACGCGTCTTGTGTACAGTACTTCATTTGAACATAACGCAGCCTACAACCATCAAAGCACTCCTTCACAAGAGAAGTATCTGTGCTTTTAAGGCGCCATGAGTTCTTAACTGATGCATATACCATATGTGTGATAAAAAGAGTGTAAGTCATTTGAAATTACAACTGTTGATAAGCTCCAAATGTATTTTCATTAAAGAAAAAGCCGGGGTCTGCTTTACAAGAAGAATGTATTACTCAAGATTGATATTAAGCTGTTATCAGTACAAAAAATTAACATCCTGCTTCTTTTTCTAGTCGAGAGTACGCTTAGTTGTATATCAATTCTTTTTGATAAGCATTCGATTAGTAATTGCATGCCAAAGAGTAAATCTTATTTTATGCGTGAGCTATGATAATATACATCAGTAGCACAGTCGCGCGTTTATTTGTTCCTATCTTTCACTGTACTATGTATTATCTCAGTGACAAAATGCTCACTTGACGTATTTTAGATTTCCCCCTTGTTTTACAACTGTATTTCCCACACTGGAACTCAATAATAAAGCTTCAATTCTTATCAAGCAAAAGGAACGCTTTTTAGTAAGAACATACTCTCTTATTTGGAACTAGCAATGTATATAAAGCCAAAATGAAAGCTAAACATGAATCAAGAATGAGTCGTTATCACTCTTTTGTCCTCCTTTGAGTCACAAGATAACTAAACACTTGCACAATGAGAAAAAGAAAAAAAAAAAGAATAAAGTTTATATGTTTGTAAGACCAAAAAGAAAAAGGGACAAGATGCACTGTCCACCGCGGTGAGTTAAATATGGAAATAAATAAACATCACAGTCAATTGGCATAAAATATAGTGCTTCCAACAGCCGGCTAATACTGATACCGCCATCCAATCAGAGTCAAGTTTGTTGACTGATCATTATCATATAACGCGCCAGTCATAAAATAATCTTGTTTGCAATTACAATGACGATACTATAACAATTAGCTTTCTCTCTTCCTTCTTTCTCTTATAAAGAAGCTATACAGAGATTCATATCTGCATTTCTTTTTATTGTCATTTAGCTATGTTACAAAGTGTAGCCTGAGATTACCACAGCTGCCAATCAAGAAGAGAAAGCGAGGAAGCTATGTTGAACTAACGAGCACAGGGACAGTAACTGGTCATTGCTTTAGCTTTCTGAAAATCACACATATAAGCTGGATCAGTATCCACATATGAAAGGGTATTACCTTTATTAGGCCTCAAGCAAAGATCGCACCTAATGCTATTGTTGTTTATGCTCGGTTTTTGAGCACTGTGGCCACAACAGGCAGTCTTTTCTTTGATCAAATCACACTATGTTTTAAGTTAATATGAAATGCAGACTCATCGAGAAAGACGCAATTAGTTCTACGGCCCATGTCCGTACAATTCCATTTACGAACCCAGTCGAAACGCTCCTGAATTTTTTCTTCACTGCTCCTATCTATAGGCTGAAATTAGGCCTTTTTGAGTGACAAATTACATTCAGTTCTTACAAAATTGTAGACAGTGCTTTTAAAAACTTTGAGATCCTGAGACTTTTAAAGTAGCCACTCCATTACTTGCTCCAAGGCGGCTGAAGGATTCTCATCTATGTACTCCAAGATCACTTGCTTGTGTTCTTCATGAAGTATGCTCGAGCGACCGGTTTTCTTACGCTTTATAAACATATTGTCAGACCATCTTTGAGCGGTGCGAACATGAATATCTAATTGTTTTGCACTTGTTTGCACTTGTAACTTTCTCAAAAACATCAATTTAAGAATCTAACTTCTACAGCTCTTGTATTGTTCAATTAATATTTGAGTTTGTTTTTTTAAAAAGAGCAGATTCTCTTGACAAAGTAACTTAAATCATACAATGATTCAATAGGACAGCTTAAAATGCAAATAAATGAGAAATTGCTGCTATGAATGAATGAAAAAAACATAATCAAAAACAATGTGATATGAGTTACAGTTACCCTGGGAACATCCTATTAATGAAATACTAAACACACAATTGGATTCATTTATATGTCTACTTTAATTGACCAATGTGTGTCCTTTCTTTTTCTCTGTCTTTAAAGGTTTGGTACCCAGCCAAGGAAAGCTTAACATTGGACAAAGAGGCTAGCTTTTAGCACCTTAGCCACGCTCAAAATGGCAAGTTGTACAAGCGTCTTTTTTGTTTTCATTCGATCCCGTATTTCTTTTCCCTCCTTTTTCTTAAACACACATATTTCTCAGCCCACATGCCACCTAATGTTGAAATGCGGACTAGCGGGTTGAAGCCTGCGTTTGAGCATCCAGATTATAGACATCCGCTCTACCTTGGTGCATGGAAACGCTCCATCCCTTATGTTCATGAGAACTTTGCTCGTGACGATATGGATGAGCCTCATCTGAAGAGAAAGCATACTATTCTCAGGGAACATCCAGAAGTCGAAAAACTATATGGAACAGATATTCGAACACTCTATGTGACGATCGCAATCACCGTGATTCAGCTTACTATTGCCTATTACTTTGGCCGAATATACAACCCACCATGGTATATATTTGCTTTGACAGCTTACTTTATCGGAGCCACTCTGACGGGTATGATTGGGGTGATTATACATGAGGCTTGTCACTGCTTGATATTTGAAAAGAAATGGCTCAATCGGTACGCTGGTCTGCTCGCTAATGTGTCTTTACCTGTGCCTATCGCACAGTCTTTTCGACGTTATCATATCGAACATCACACTTGGCAAGGCGTTGAAGGGATGGACCCTGATTTACCACTTGATTGGGAAAAGAACTTGATTCGAGGAAATGCATTCACAAAGCTACTTTGGATCCTTATTTACCCTGTCATGTACGTTGTCCGTGGAGCAGTAATGCAACATGACCGAAATCTGACACCGTCCAAATGGGAATTGATCAACGTTGTATTTACAGTTATAACAGATACCCTCATTCAAAGAACGTGTGGATGGCGTGGATTGGGTTATTTATTATTATCACTTTGGTTTGGTTATTCATTGCATCCCGGAGCTGCACACTTTATTCAAGAGCATTATACATTTGATGATGGGCAAGAGACTTACTCTTACTATGGTATCTTGAATATACCCTTTATGAATATTGGCTATCATAATGAGCACCATGATTTCCAAAAGGTAAAGACATTGGAGGATTTAATAGAAAGATAAATAACACCTTATAGATTCCCTGGTCAAAACTTCCAACTCTTCGTGCCATGGCAAGAGACTATTATGATAAATTAGCCTATCACACTTCATGGGTCATGGTTCATTGGAAATTTATCACCCAGCGTACGATTGGCCCTCAGTCCCGTGTGATCCGTACCTATGATGACCATAAGCGGGGTAGAACTTTGCTTGGTAAAATGCGTGATTATGATATTTGGAAGAAGAAATCATCCCAATAGATTTGCTTTTCAACTTGTTTCCTTACATTAACTTTGATAACAATAACAACAACAATAAAAAGTGCATTTTTCAAATAAGCTTGAAGCAAAAATCTCTAGTGTAAAAATAAGCCTAAATCACTGTCACAGTCTATTTCTTTCTTTTTTTATCTTTTTCTTACCTTCTTGATCCAATCTATTGCAATGAACACGACAGGATTCACAGAAAATGAAGTATTAACTCTAATCATTGGGTATTTTACACGCATCAGAAACTATAACAATTTACCAACTAATTTGCATCTTGCTGCAACACACATAGACAGCTTGTGGCATATGGATACTCAGCTGTCGCGCAAAGTGTGGCCGATGCCACAGGAGCAACCACGAATCTGATGCCAAGTTTCAAACTTGTCGAAATGCTACAAATTGCTAAAGATGCAGGTAACACTCTTTTACATAAAAAAGAATCGCTTCTAAACTATTTTGTAGTTGGTGATTTGGAAAGTGAGGAGGAGTTCTCGACCAAGAGTATGGATCGTGACAGTTCTACAGCAGCCGAGGAAACGACGCAGACCACACCTTATCTGTCTGGATTTGATATAGAGTCAATGAAAAACGCACGTAAGAAAATGGCTTACTTTTGAACATACAAAGAATTAAACCCCTAGCTTTTTTTCTATAGAACCCAAACAAGAACCAGAATTCACACAGACTTATTACACACAGCACAAGGGACCTTGCCGCATCGCCAGCTTCAGCCATGACGGGCGATTTGCAGCGACTGGATCGCATGATACTTCCCTTAAATTGTTAGATGTAACTAAAATGCAGAATAGAACAGGCGATTCGGGTGATAAACCCGTCGTCCGAACCTTATATGATCATACAGATGCAGTAAACGATCTAAGTTTTCATCCAAATGGTATTGTACTAGCAAGCTGTTCAAACGATCAAAGCATCAAATTATTTGACTTGTCCAAATCGGGTGTGAAAAGAGCATTTAGATATCTTCAGGTAAGCTTAGGATTGAAGAAAAAGAGAGAGAAAGCATACTTACCGCACCAAAAAGGACGCTTCTCCTGTCAATTCGATCAGCTTTCATCCTTCAGGTGACTTTTTGTTAGCAGGCACAAAGGATTCAGCTGTTCGTATCTATGATGTACGAACACTTCAATGCTATACGAACTCTAGTGCAGCAAACGTGCATCAAGGATCCATTTCACAAATTCGTTATTCCAAGACAGGAAAGATCTTTGCTACCTCCTCCTTGGACGGAACAGTCCGTATCTGGGACAGTGTCTCGTCACAATGCATCAAAGTATTTGAGAATGCACACAGTGGAGCTGCTGTATCGAGTGTTCGATTAACCAAGAATGAAAAATACGTCTTGACTGCAGGTTTGGATTCCACCATGCGTCTCTGGGATATTTCGAGTGGAAACATGTTGATGGAGTATAAGGGACATGAACACCGAGCACATATGCTACAGCCTACATTTTCATTCAATGAAGGGTTCGTCTTGATCGGTGATGAATTGTCAACAGATGTATTCTGTTGGGATACGCAAACAGGTGCTCTAGTGAAAAGAATCCCAGGACATAATAATCTCGTACGATGTGTGGCTGCTTCACCAAATGATTATGGTATCATCACTTGCAGGTAAGAGATACATGTATAAAATATAAATCTCCCCCTCTTATTTATTGTTGTTTTATAGTGAGGACTATCGTGCACGTTACTACAGCGCAGTTTAATAATAAAAGAGAGAGGCTTTCTATAAATGACTTTCATAAACGCGGGTATGCCATTTTTCAGAATTGCTCATAACCAAGGCCGCTTCTAAAACATCCCAGATATTCTTTGCATATATAAATTCAATGTCCTCTTTTACTTTTTCAGGTACATCTTGTTCAACGTCCTTACGATTTCGTAAGGGTAGAATAATCTTGCGAATGCCTGCTCGATGGGCAGAGACTACTTTCTCTTTTATACCTCCAACGGGCAACACCTGACCTCGGAGCGATATTTCGCCTGTCATGGCTGTGGTTGTGGGCACATGATATCCAGAAAAGAGTGAAACAAGAGATGTGACCAAGGTGACGCCTATAGAAAAAAAAAGAGAAAGTGTTTATATAGATCTATGCAAAAAAAAAGCATTCCCTATTTACCTGCACTAGGTCCATCTTTGGGAATAGCTCCACCAGGCACATGAATATGGATATCATAATTTTCTACAAGATTTGTCTCCTTCGTGGGCACAATTTTCAATTCGTATGCATGTGCCTTGACCCATGTAAGAGCTATTCGAGCTGATTCCTTAATGACATCGCCCAGAGAGCCTAGGAACAGAAATGTGTGTTAGTTCAGCAGCTATAAAGACAATATAAACATTTGAACCTGTGAGCCCTAAATCTCCATGACCAGGCATTTTGGTTGATTCAACAAACAGAATACCACCATTACCGCTTCCGGAGTATGCTAACCCAGTGACAACACCTGGAAGGGCTTCTCTTTCGGCGACTTCCTTTTCATAGTAGGCCATGCCTAGGATTTCTTCCACATTATTTAACGTCACCACCGGCTTATAATCATTTTCCTTGTTGAATTCACGGAGATCGGCAAGCTCAACACATTTAGCACGGACAACAGAAGCGATCATTCGTTCCAGGTTACGTACACCACTTTCTCTTGTATAATTTTCAGCAATCTTCAAGAACACCTCGTCCGACATCTTGACTTGACCAGGCTGTAGTCCGTGTAGTGTGATTTGTTTAGGTAGTAGATGAGATTTGGCAATATGGAGTTTCTCTTCAAACGTGTAGCCATTCAAGGTAATGACCTCCATACGGTCCAAGAGAGGTTCGGGTATCGTGTCAAGGCTGTTGGCAGTAGCAATGAATAGAACGTTCGAAAGGTCAAAGGGAACGTTCAGATAATGATCTGAAAAACTATTGTTCTGTTCAGGATCCAGGACTTCCAAGAGGGCAGCTGCAGGATCACCATAATGGGTAGAGTGAACAAGCTTATCGATCTCGTCAAGCAGGAATAAGGGGTTATTTACTTTGCATTTCCTCAAACCTTGGACGATCAAACCGGGCATAGCTCCAACATACGTACGGCGATGGCCTCTGTTTGGACATATATGAGCCAACGTGTTATATATGAAGAAAACTTTACCTTATATCAGCTTCGTCTCTTACACCACCCAATGAGATCCTATGAAACTCACGGCTCATGGAAGCAGCAATGGATTTGCCCAGAGATGTCTTTCCGACACCAGGGGGACCCACAAAGCAGATGATGGGAGCCTTCAGGTCACCTTTGATCTTGATGACCGAGAGATACTCAATGATACGCTTCTTGACATGGTCAAGGCCAAAGTGATCCTCTTCTAGCTTCTGCTTTGATTTCTTGATGTCAATCATGTCTTGCGTCTTTTTGCTCCATGGCAAGTCAGCAAGTAATTCTAAATAGTTGCGAGCGACAGAGTACTCGCTTGATGCTGGTTGAAGCTTCTTGAGACGCTTGAGCTCTCTTTGAGCAACAGTCGCTGCCTCCTCTGGCAGTTCAGCCTCTTCTAGCCTTCGACCTAATAATTCGATATCATCTTCCTCTTTACCTCCGTTCGAACCATCGGATTCACCAAGCTCTTTCTTGATGGCTTCCAGCTAAATGATGTATAAGCAAAAGAATAAAAATAAAAAACAATAGACTTGCCTGTTGACGTAAGTAAAACTCACGCTGCTTTTTAGATAATTTATTTTCTACACTTGAATGTACTTGCTCAGATATCTTGAGGACCTTAAGAAAAAATGATGAGTTTTTACCTTTATAGTAATAAAAAAACCTTACGTGCAACTGACGAGTCATCCATTCGGAAGCCTTTTCGAGTCTTTCCTTGACGTCGGTTGTCGCCAACATGGTTAATTTTTCATCAAAAGACGTCTCAATGACGGTGACGAGCAGATCGGCAAGGACAGGTGGCGGAACTGAATCGAGTAATTTAGTCAGTTGCTGGATCAAATTTTCAGGCATGCGTAATTCTTTCATCTTGATCAAGAATTCACGCACAAGAGCTTTGAAGCGAATCATGTTATCGTCATCATCAGTAAGATCTTGTTGCTCGATATAATTGACTTTAGCGTATAACGTATTATCTTGTGCAACGACATCTTTCACTTTAAATCGTACCACGCCTTCAATAAACATAGTGAATGCGCCTAGACCAGCTCTCTGCACACGCAGGATACGAGCGGCACAACCGTAGTCGAATAATTTATCTTTATCCTCTGGTCTAATGAATCCTTCTATCTCTGGTTCATCGCCAACTGAAGTTGTGGATGTCAAAGGAATACATGCAACATAGGTTGGCTTGCGTTGCTCACTTGCTCGTAAGTGCTTACGAGTTAAAGTGACGGCGTCTTTGCCTCGCATGGATATCTTGAGAACGACTGAAGGTAAAAGTACTTTATTCTCTAATGGAATAACGAGTAAATTATCTGGAAGCACTAGTGTCATTTTTGGATATAAAAAAAAAAGAAATAAAAAGAAAGGAGTAGAAAAATGTTTAAAAAATAAAGGGAATATAAAAAAGGACCTCATGTGAAAATGGATTGAGTGAGCATAATCTGGCTATGAGGATAGACGATTTGATTGGATAAAAGTGTTTTGATATTATGTAAAAAATTGAACAGCGATAAAAATATAGTGTGTGTACATGCATCACTATTTTGTAGTAAATAAACAACAGCACACAAATACTGTTGCTTAGGAACGACAAAATAAAATAAAATAATTGGTTGCGTGTGTTTTCTTAGTAATGAGTGGTTACTATGGGAATATCTTTATAATGCGCGTTTTTAAAATGACTTTAATTCAAATACGGCTGTAAAGGTCATCATTCTGCATTAGATTCTAAAAATACTTGAGCCAATAAAGCCTCTTTATGAAATACTCCGATTTGTTTTCTTTACTGTTGTGACTTATTTTTACTTTTTTTTTACCCTTCTTTTTCGTTTTCCCCTTCTTAAAATGACTCGTATTCGAGAATATGAAAATAGTGATCTGAACCGCGCAAAAGAGTTTTATATAAATATGGAAAATGAAAAAAGGCAAGAAAGAATAATCCGATATTTGAAAAAGAAGAGAGCGGTGAGGCAGAGTTGGCAATTGGGTATAATGGGACTAGTTGGACTACAGCTAATGAGAAGAACAAGTTGGAGTACAATGTTTATAGAGATGACGATATGGACGACAAGCATAGGTCTTATTTGGTATTTACATATTCGTGATGAATATAGAAAGGAGATAAAGAAACAAGCGGATGAAATGGTTGATGCTTTAAAAAGTAAAGAAAGTCATTGCTGGATCATGGAAAATGGTAAAGATATTGTGGGAACAGTGATATTAAAATGTGATCAAAGAGAAGGCAAGATTGGATATCTGACAGGTGTAAACTCGGAGATCAGACGCAGCCTAGTTAAAAATGCAATTCAATTTGCTAAATCAAATAAAATTGAGGTGATAAGTAAATGGGATGAATCAACTAAATGGACATCGGATAATAATCATCTATAAAAATCAAAATCGCAAAAATCTCCTCTTTTTCTTTTTAACTGAAAAAATGAATACTTTGTTACCTATACACTGCTTATTTTCACCAACTACTTTAGAAAAAGATTTATCCTATGTTGACAATACTTATTATCAAGCAGCAGATCAAAATAATAACAATAGTAAAGAAAAACCCCATTTGGATAAAGTAGATTTAATTCATCAAAATGATATCCTCGTACGCTATACTCAATCTAGTCTTGACTTGTAAAGTATATTATAATGTGTATTTTAACATATCACTTATCATTATCTATAGGCATAATATGAACTTGTCAATGATTCCTATTCATATCCCCTTGTTCAGAAAATTAACCAAATTGGATCTATCTTTTAACAAATTGAAAGAATTACCTTCAAGTATCGAACAATTAACAAATTTGAAGCATTTGAATTTATCACACAACGAGTTAACTCAACTACCTTCAACACTCTATCAACTCACTCAACTCATGCACTGTGATCTCTCCTTTAATCCACTTCAATCCATTTCGCCTCACTTTTCTCGTCTGCTCAGCTTGAGTTATCTCGATCTATCTCATACCAACTTGCAATTTATACCTGCTGAATGTCTCGATCTATCCTTAACCACCATTCGATTAGATCACTGCCCACACTTACTTACAGATGAATTTGAATACAGCATCAAATTTAATCCACCCAGCCTATTTGAAATTTGTGCCCGAGAAATCATCCATCCTATCATGGCCGACGTGATCAAGAAGAAAAAAATCAAAAAATCGATATCTCTCCTAAAGACACTTCCTTCTCACATCCTACAATATCTATCTTCACCCGACACTTGCTCTTCCTGTGGTGGTCCTTATTTTGATACTCACTTGATTCGATACCGTTTAATTCATCGACAGGATGATACTTGGATACCAGTCCAGTACAGACTATGCTCTTCTCACTGGTTGACAGAAGATCAAAGGGTCACAGATATGTTTTCTTTTAAACCTCGTCTCTTTTTACCCAAGTTGAAGCATTCTCGTCTATTTGAATTGAAATAAGCTTAATAAAAATTACTTTTTTTTTATTATTATTCTAGGGGTAAAGGGGCTTAAACTGTTACACTACATTTGTTTCTCTGGCTTTTTCTCTCTCTTAGCTCACTCACTTTATTTTCCGCTCTTTTTTTTCTTTTCTTAAAAAAAATAGAAATGTATTTTAATCAACCCCAGCAAGAATCAAGGCCATTTGTTTATATACAATATCCAGTCCCTTCTTCAGCCAAAAAGACGATAGATAATCACGAATTCAGAATAGATTCCTCTTCTTCTGCTTCTTCTTCTTCTACTACTACTATTGAACAACCTAAAAAGAAAAAAAGGCAGCATGTTGGTTATGCATGTGACAAGTAAATATAATTTTCATGCATCTATTTTTTTTATTAAATCCATTTAGATGCAGGGAAAGAAGAGTAGGCTGTGATAGAGGGAAACCGATATGTGGACAATGTAAAGACAGATATCATTGTCAGTACAGTAATCAAGCATTAAGACTGGATAATGTGTCACTACGCCAAAGATTAGGCGAATTAGAAAATAAGGTTGACTGGCTTACTTCATTCGTGACAAACCTCGAACAAGATTATCGAACTACAATTCCACAATTAATGTCACACGTGCAACCGCAAGAAGAACAACAACAACAAATAACAAATGGCCATAGCGTCGAAGAGTGGGCTATTCAAACCGGCTGGCCCGTAGTTGAGCATGTAGATGGTATGAAATCCATTTATACCAACATAAAGAGCTTCGAAGACCTCAGCGAAGCTATAAGAAACACAATGCAACTCATTTACAACCTAAAGGGAAACCCCATCCTTCGTCGACCTTCCTCTATCAGCACTGATGATGACTCGGTTACGAGTGGTAGCACAGTGTCGTCAGCAAAGGAACACTCCTTTGGCTTTTTCGAGAGCTTAGGCAGACTGCCAACCCATGGCAGCAAAATCACACTTCGAAATGATGATGGTAGTATCTCTAGTAAGATGATGGCTCAGTCTACGATAAGTGATAAACACCTCGAGGTCGACGTGATGACTCGCCTAATCCATCAGCATCACAAGTGCGCCTTTCCAACTTTAGTCAGTCCTTCCAGATTCGAAAACCATTACCGCCAAGGCCAACTTAAGCCACTTGTGCTCTCTTCCGTCTTCTCCCATTCAGTGCCTCACACCTCTATTTATCACCCTCATCTCACACAAATAAAAGACTTTCGGGAACTGGGCGTCAAATTCTACAACCACTCGCATGATCTATTAGGTGTGGATGATGAACCAGCCAATTTATCAAACATTCATCAGCGTACATTTCTTATCACGTATGATTTGGATCATGGCCGTGTACGTCGAGCGTTTCTGCATATAGGTATTGCCATTCGCATGTGCTTTATGTTAAACCTGCACCGCCCTGAAGGCTACGTTTCTTGTAAGACGCCCTTTGAAAGAGAACAATCAAAACGAATTTTCTGGACTGTTTGGTTCTATGACAACATGGTACGGATCATTTCCCTCCTAACCTCTCTTTTTTATTCTAAACTTGTTTTTTTTTTCTGTAGGTTTCTCAACTGTTTCATGACCAAGTAGCTACAATGAAACTCAGCCAAATATCTGTTGATCTTCCTACCGTTCTACCTGAATTCAGTCAGTTAGAAAGAGATCAAACCATTTTTACAATCCAGTTGATACAAATTAGAAAGCTGGCTGGCTCCATCTCTGAAGACTTACATAGACTAGAACCACATAAACTCGTCAAGAAATACAAGCGGAAATTAAGAATATTTTACCACGAGCTGCCTTCCCACTTACGGTTTGGTAAAGAAACCAGTGTTCTGCCGCCAAGTACATCCCTCTGGGAAAGAAGAACGTACTACTGTATTCTCTTAGACTATTGTCAAGCTTGGATTACTATCTATCGAACCCTTCTACCATCATCATCCGCGACAAGGACAAGCTCACTAGAGAAAAAGGCTATCTTGCATACCTCACAGGCGGCCGTAGCCGCGGTCAAGCTCTTTCAGGCCTGGTTTCAATCTTCAGCTCTTTCGAGCGAAGGTTTCGATTGCTTTTTTAGGCCGTACCTGTATCACTTTTTGAGCGTTAAAAAAATACTTTGTGTAAGTCGAGATGTGACAACACCTCCCTTTTTTATTCATTTCCTTTTTCTCAACTTAGGCCAACGTCGCACATATCGGAAGGTCGCCTTCCTTGGTTTACATCAGCAGGGCTTATCTTGCTCTTCTCCTTCAGCTCTATCAGACAACACCCACAAGACGATCATTTGACGAAAGTGCGGTCGAAAACGATTTGTTACAGTTCTTGACGGAGCATCATATTAGTATGAACGAGGTACCCTATCAGGAAATGGTGGATGAAGCCCTCCGTGATGACCCTAACGCAGATGGTGGGTGGAGTATCTTTTCATATGTACCTTCTCCTGTCATGGATGATGAAGATGAGAGCAAGTCAAGGACATCGTCTTCTTCGACGGCGAGTTATGGATCGGATCATCCGACAACCATGACCGAACTGACAATGGATTACTTTTGAAAAAAAAAGTCTCATTTTGTATTTTATTTCATTCTGTTTGTACATATTAAAAAAAGGGGCTTCCCCTCCCCGGCATCTTGATCTTGTGCCGTAACTCTAGACATCATTTATATCCATGTATTTCTGAAATCAAAATTTAGTGCACGGTAAGCTGACTTGCAGCAAGAACAATAGAAAAAAAAGGGAGTTGTTGATCAAAAAATCCCTTGCTCGAAACTTTTGTTTCAGACACACTATATAAAGGCAGCGCTTGGGGGTCATCTTTCTCTTATTTTACTTTTTGTCTATAGTAATCATGTACAAACTTGTCTCCATCTTATGCTTCCTTGTGTACACACTTGCCGCCGGCAAGACGATCACGGTCAAGAACAACTGTAAAAAGGTTGTCAGTGTCGGCACCTTGACAAACGGCAAAGGTTCAGCCTTACCAGAGAAAACAGCTGACCTTCCACCTGGAGGCAGTACACAGTTTACCGAGTCAGATACATGGGGCGGTCGTGTCTGGGGTCGTTATCAGTGTTCAGGGAGCTCCAGCAACGACGCGACAGCCTGTGGAAACCCAGGCGCGGTGAATCCTGCAACATTGGCCGAGTTCTTGTTCAAGGGTTCAAATGGACAAGACTATTATGACATCAGTTTAGTGGATGGATACAACCTCCAGATGACCATTTCGCCTGATGGTGGTAGTCCTAGTAGTGGCTATAGCTGTGGATCGCCTCAGTGTGTCACCCCTGACTGTCCTGATGAATTTGCAGTCAAGGATGGTACGGGAAACACGATTGCTTGTAAGAGTGCATGTTCCGCTACGGGTAAGCCTGAAGATTGTTGCACTGGGCCTTATAATAGTCCGGATGCTTGTAAGGCAGGGGCAGCAGCAAACAGTATCAAATCTTCTTGTCCTGACGCTTATAGTTTTGCGTACGATGATCAGACCTCAACTTTTTCATGTTCTGCAACTGGATACACAGTGACATTGTGCTAATAAAAACACGTCAATCTCAAAATACTTGTGTGTTTTATTTGTAAAGAAAAAAAAGATGAGGGGCAACGTTTCATTATATATGATAAGAAATGTGTGTTGAATAGGCAAAATGCAGTTTTATGAAAAAAAGGAGGGAGAATGATGTAAAAAGTAAGATGTAATAACCAAATTATGTTCTTCAAATGGAATCCTTCTTGAATGCAGTTGATGAACCTTGCAAGCCTAATTTACAGGCATACCAAGACAAGAGATGTGTATCTGCACCGTGCTGGACAAGACTCTGGACGATGTGTGTTGATTTCGATCGAATAGCGAAATAGAGAGCTGTTAGTCCATTTTGGTCTTGAACATGAATAAGCTGGGGACATTGAGTGACAAGGATCTTTGCGAGATAATTATGATTCAAGTGAGCAGCGTAATGAAGGAGAGTATGTCCGGTGCTGTCGACTTCCATTAAATCTATCGGACTACGCTGAGACAGTACATAGGACATGTCCTGTATGGAACTAGGTGTCTGCGTGATCTTGTAGGAAAGATTCATTAGGGCTTGTTCGCTGTCATCAAAGTAATTAAATATCGATACTTGATTATTTGTTGTGACAAATGAGTAGTTCTTGAACGCGATTTTGGCGGGCCCAACATGATCTCCTGGAGGAGTAATGCACGTAATCGATGTCGATGACACATCGAGGAGAATTGCCTGTGAGTTGCCAAACATGACGCCAACGTCCGGACAAAAGCCAGAGCCGACAAGAGTGACCTTGGCGCCTCCGAGTAGAGAGCCTTGTGAGGGAACAATATATTTGAGATAAGCGCAGGACTGATCGAGCACAGTATTGGCTGACAGCATCATGACATCATGACTATGATAGTCGCGGACAGTGTCGTCTAATAGCCTTATTGCTTGGTTGGTGAGTTTTTCTGTTTGCCAAGGGTCTGATGTATCCAGTGTATTTTTAGTATCACACGGTTGAGCCATGACGCTGCTATATATTCTAGAAAGTGCTGAAGTGATTGACGCGTCATCTTCTGACGAAGGTTCACATTCTACCACCTGTCGTTGACGATAGCGACGCCTTGGAGAGCAATTCATTTTTGCCGTCTTGTGATCGTCCGTAATCATGATTGGCGGCGTCTGACCTACAGCAACCATATTCCCTTTACAGTCCTTAATACCAAACCACACACTACGGGTTACATTAGTAGGGTTGCACAAGACAATAGTTTAACTTACCGGAATCCGATGCGCTCATCGTGATGGCGACAGTAGCAAGTGATTCTTGTTGGCAAAATGGTGTCATGCAAGTTGAAATCGAGCAAATGATCGCAATTGAATAAAAGGATGCGCTGTCGATCACGCTCGTACTCTGCATCAACCACGGCTGTTCCAGGCTGAATATGAATAGATGTCAAGATTGCATTCTTTTTACGCTCGGCTCGTTTTCTCTACGGGGGAGCTGTTCAGTCCTTTTTTTTTGTGTAAAACAGTGACGGCATATCATTACCTCACGTCGCACGCATCCTTGACACATTTTGATTTTTTTGTGCTTATTACTCTCACATATCACTCTAGCTTCTAAATCGAGTATGTTTGAAGGATCCTCCGCATTCATCAGTTTTTGTTTTTGAGCGATTTTTTTCAGTTTGGGTCTGGCCAGGAGGTACTCTGGCACACGGAGGTATTTCCAAGGTAAGCTTGGTATGGTTGTCTTGTCGATTGGAATGAGTTGAATGCTTAGTTTGATTTGTGTTTCTACTCTTGATTTTGTACCCGTCGGTGGTATTCCATTGACACGGATTCGGAATGGGCAGCTTAGCATATGATCGAAATGTCAGCGCTATTTGAATAAGTCATTTTGTATCCTTACCTGTCATAGGAGGTATTTGTCTCACTTGTATCTAATGGCCTATTGTTTTTCCATGAAACGTTTCTGATAGACACCCCTAATGTAACTTACCATGAATGATAGACCGAGTGCGTCGTAACCTGTATGAATTGATAAGTAGCGATGTTCAAATGAAAAAGAAAGAAACATACCAAATAGTGATTATGGAATAAAGAATTAGGTGATATAGGAGGTGATTGCATATTGTATTATTTTGAGACAGGTCCAATCTGCTTTGTATTTAAAATGGGAAAAAAGAAAGAAAGAAAGAAATCTGATGTAAGGAAACAGGTTTTGGTCTGCGATT